GGGAATAAAACGAATCGAAATTATTATAAAATTATAATTGTATTCAGGACACATTCATCGGACTTTTGATTTTAATCAGACACACTCATATATTTTTTCAATGTAGAAACGGTAAAATTTGCTGAAATTGCCAAGCCATCTTTAAGATAGATCCCTCTACAGTTGAAAGTAGTTGGTCAATTTTCACTGGAAAAAGTCTATTCGAAGCATTGGGTGACTGCATGTGTGAGTGTAAAGGAGAAAGTACAGCAAGTACTAGGCTTGTTGTAGTACAGTAGTTTGATAAAGAATACTGTATGTTTGTATTGGAATATGAAATACATTATAAAGTAGTTGCTGTACTGTACTTGTTTAAATTGTAGTCTTGGAAACTTAAATCACAGTTCACAGTGAAGCACACAGTGTACGTTGGCCCATCATTGAGAGCGTATTCAGTGAATAGAATGGCGTTGCTTGCAAAATCTTATTGTAGTGACATGTTTGCTCAATTGGAATTATGATCTGGCTTTCATAATACAATATACAAATGCTGTATTTTGTTTAGATGTATTAAAATTATTCAGGGAAAAACTTATATTGATGGTCTTTGGTACCAGAAAAAGAGAGGGAGAGGTTTGAAAATAAAATTATTCTGGTTCTGAAAAACCCACTCATACCATGGTCATACTCATAACTTGGCCTGTAACACCTAAAAGTGGCATTTTTTCAGGGCATGTTGATTACTATGTTTTGCCTTTCAGCATGTCTGTTAAAATCAATTGTGAATGGTGTGTATAGTACAGATACATACATCAAATATTGAACTTTCTCTCCCACTCTTTCAATTACTGTAGGCCTGCACTTGAGCAGCTCTTGTGATTTAGTAGTAGTATGTAGTAGTCTCTTTGTGTTGGAGGATAACCTACATATATTCAGGAAAAAAAGATTGCCAGTGTGCTGGACAAACATTACAAGGACAAAATTAAATGATAAGCATGATGAGGGATCTAAATAATATGTGTGATCTGGATCAATACCTGTCTCTTATACACATCTAGATGTGTGGGGGGGGGGGGTCATATGACGAGACAAGTTTTTTACTTCTAGTCATGATCCCAATGATGGTGGTTTATTATTTGTATTTTATTGTATACTATTATTATTTCCATCATTGAATAAATGTCATTTGAATTTAATTGAATTCAATTGATGATAGCAATGAAGGAATGCAGCGATAGCAATAATTAAATGTATTAAAGAAGTGCAATTATGGAATACAATATAGTAGCGATGATGTAATGTAATGATGGAATGATGATGGTAGCAATTATGGAATGCTATGATACCAGCAATGATAGAGTAGAAGGGATAGGTGGAAATTTAAGTGCACCAAACGATTAATAAAATAAATTGGTCAGTATTTTTAATTAAAAGGTACAATACATTTTATAGTTTAGGTGTGTGTATTGATTTAAAGTTTGAAAAAAATGTCTATTTATTAATAGTATTGGGACAGATTAAGAATTTATCAAGTGAGTTCAATAAGACGAGTCTTTTTTATTCCTTGTTTCGCGTACATATGTTTTTTGAAAGATTATCGAAGGAGGGTGGAATAAAAATAAAATTTTGTTTTCTTATTTAGCAAATAGTTTTGCCAAAATCATCCAGATGGAGGAGAAAATAAAAATAAAATTTTATTGGTGAATGTAAAATGGGATGGTTAAATGCTTCAAACTTATATAATTTGGAAAAAATATACATATCTTATCTTTGGAGATTTCAAGGCAGTGGAGGACGTAATAAATTTAAAGAAAACTTTAATGAGCAGGTGCACTAATTGATCAAAAATAAAATGTTATTTTATTTGAAATCATCAATATTTGCAGTCGGCGGGTTGGCTAAACAAGGTATAAAAAAAGTCTTGCCTAATATAGAGCTGTGCATAATATTGAGTTTTGATTTGAGTTTTGATTACTTCATTTATCATACTTACTTTTTGTATGATGTCCTAAAAATTTGAATATTTTTTATGACCATAGTAAGTATTGCAGTATGCAACTTGGGCTATTTAAAGTGTTTCATTTATGTTGAAATATGTAGGACCAATGATAAAACCAGAAAATTGTATTGTGGATATTTTGGACCATTCAAAAACAAATTAAACATATTGTTTTATTTTAATTATTTAATTAATTGTAAGCCTAAGCAGAGAGGAATTTTGAAGTAATTACAGTAAGTGTTAATAAAGCTAATATTGAGAATACTATTAACTCTCTATAAGCAAAATGTGGTGCAATTGTTTAACAAGTTTAGATTGTGCATTGTGTTAAATTAGATGATTAAAAGATATGACTTACTGAATCACAATAAAAATTGTCTAATGGTATGTATTTTATTGTGACGATGTAATATTAACATCAGGTGTCACAACATCAACTTTTACCCTCATCAAAAACAAATATAACATTGCAATATTTATGTTTAATCATTTAAGAGAAAATGTACCAATAATTAATTAAATTTGATTGTGTAAATTATCTCCATATACATGTTCATGTACTGTACATAATAAATTTAATGTACATTTGTGTAAGGAGGTGTGTATATGCACAGTGTATGTTATTGTATATACAGTATATGCATGTAATATGTGTGGTTATTTTTGTGTTTTGTTTTTTTTTTAAGGTTATACATATGTATAAAGCATAACTATGCTTGTTTCTGTATACCTTTTCATTTATCAGGTAGGACTATTACCTCAATATTAATCAACATTTTGTAGTGATTGTGAATTGATGAATGAATAAATTGAATTGAGTTGAAAAAAATCGTTAAATTATAATCATTGTTGTTAGGTGTCAGTTTACCGTAAAAATATTCGAATAAGCGCCGCTCTCGAATAAAGCGTCCCACCAAATCGCTTATACAAAATTATTTTATTTCGAGAGTTCATCCTTTGAAAAACAGGGTTTTAAAATGTGTTCAAATGAATGACACAATGAAGATACAAGCATATCTTTATAAACGTTTATTTACGATGAGTAGGGCCTGTGATAGGTCTATCCAACTACGGGAATATGTGAGATAGGTAGCATGTGAACAGGCATGCAAAGCGCCACACCAATATGTGCGGCTTGAATAAGTGCTGCACTTTGGCCTCCAAAAAGTTTACAAAGCTCAGTAGGCCTAGTGCTTATTCGAGGATTTACATATGCATAATTTTACTTCAGTACTCTTTCTACAAGGGTGCAGATATGTTTTAAAGGTCGGGTGGGGGGGGGGACATTCCGTATGACCACACCCACCTCAGACCCACCATGGTGCTGAGGTGCGGAAATTTGAGAAAATAGTAGGCCTACTCTCTAGAAGACTGGAAATGACAGTAAAATTCATCATCATCACATCACCCTATAGCCAAATGAAGCGCCAGCAAATTTATCATGATCTTTTCTCAGCGATTTTCGGCAGCCATAGGGATCTAAATAATATGTGTGATCTGGATCAATACTGGCGAAGGAGCGCGGGGGTATATGCGCCAGGGGTGCGTCTCTGTGTAAATGTGATCATGTGTGATCTGGATCAATACTGGCGAAGGACCGCGGGGGTATATGCGCCAGGGTGCGTGTCTGTGTAAATGTGATCATGTGTGATATCAGGATCAATACTGGCAAAGGACCGGGGGGGGGGGGGATATGCACCACGGGTGCGTCTCTGTGTAAATGTGATCACATTTACTTTAAAACATTGTCTTTGATGTATTTACTTTTTACTTTACGTACTTCAAACCGTGAGTCCAGATCAAACTCAGCCGCACCATGGTTGGGGCCGGGGCTGAGGTGCGAACATTTGAGAAAATACTATCTCTAGATGGTCGGAAATGACACCCATTCATCACATCACTATTATAGTCAAAATGAAGTACCAACAAATTTCTCATGATAATATTTTATGAAGAATTTTTGCCAGTCCTAGAGATCTAAAAAATTTGTGTGATGTACCATAGAAAATAAAAAAATTAAACATTGCCTTTTATGTATTTACTTTACCTACTTAAAAAAGCCGCGAGTCCACACCCATGCCATCTCAGCCCTACCATTGTTGGGACTGAGGCGCGAACATTTGGGTAAATTTTACCTCTAGATGGCTGGAAATGATAGAAAAATTCATCATCACATCACCATTGTAGTCAAAATGAAGCGCCAACAAATTTCGCATTATCTTTTATTAGCGATTTTCGCCAATCAGATCTAATAGGCCTAAATCTGTGTGATGTACCATTAAAAATAAGACTTTAAAATATTGTCTTTGATGTCTTTACTTTACCTACTTAAAGCCGTGAGTCCACACCCTTTTCAGCCCACCATGGTTGGGGCTGAGGCGCGAAGATAAATGTGGGTGATATTGTACTCTGCTAGCCGGAAATTACATTTATACAGTAAAATTCTTCATCATCACATCATCATTATAGTCAAAATTAAGTGCCAACAAATTTCTCCTCTTTTATTAGGGATTTTCGGCTATTAAATAAAACTTAATTGTCTTTGATGTATTTACTTTACTTTGCCTACTTCATGTGCCGAAATAATCTTTACACACTTTTTTTTCTCATACTTCTCAAATTATAATAAAGGCACGCGCACTCAAGTCGTGGTACTGTAATTCAGATATTTGTGGGAAGATACCGGTATCTTGCTATAAGAAGATGTATTCTAGCTGTACAGGGCTCTTTTGTTAAAACCTGGGTCATTTATGCAGTTCATTTCAACAATTTCCAGGCATCTTTTTGACTGAAATCACATTGCCACCGGAGAGTGGGGAAATCCACCCCTTCCCCTCATGATCTGCGCCCACGGTTTCTACAATTATTTGATTATACAGTTCAATTCCGAGACCCCCTCTGCACCTAGAAACCAGTACCAACTGATCACCTATCTCTTAACAATAAGCTCACCCTCTAATTCTTGAGACACCTCTAATTCGAAAACGTTATCACCTTTTTCCCAAGTGAAAAAATGACCTATAATAGAAGACCACTTTAGGAAAAAAGGTAACTAGACAAGACAACAAATTCACCGTCAATTGACAACAATGAGTATTAAAACATTAACGATGTTCATTTTACTTTATTATATTTAAAAATGACAGTTTCCATAGTTTTTAACTTAAAATTGTTTAAATTTGTGAGATTTTCATAAAAGTCTGTCCAGTGCAAACAGCTTGCACATTCTGACTATTTGATGAGTTACCGGGCATTTGGCGAGTCGAGTGGCCAAGCGGTAAGGCAGGTGCGCCGCTAGCTACAACCTTAACATTGGCGCTGGTTCCAGCCGCTCCTCGCCCATGGTTCGGTTGGTAGAACCAAGTCTTCTCGGATAAGGACTTAAAATGGAGGTGCAGTCTATACATCTGGCTCGTGTGCTCTTTGAAGAACCCATTGCATCGTTCCGAAGAGTAGGTGTTTACCCCGATGTTATGTGGTTCATTTAAGCAACTGTCGTTGTGGAGTGATGTGAACATGTATCTACTAAGAAGCGCCTATTTACGGCTGTTCAGGAGCCGTGTGACACTAGTGTCCGAACAGTAGTTATGTTGGTCACGAGCGAGCAGCTTGTCTTTGGACTTTTTCCGAAGGGTTTTTGCTGTGTATGGGTCCCAAGAAGCTGATACATATAATTCTGGTGTGGACTTACTAGTGTCAAAAACGGTTTCTCTATAACGGATGCGGAGCGGTAATGGAAGTTCCCTCTCTGAGAAAGTTCCTGATATGACACCAGGCTAGTTATATGGAGGTCTTGGGTTCGATTCCCACTGACTGTTAAATGTAATTTATGCATAATGTAGAAATAGTTAGTGTAGGCACAGAAAGAAACATTTTTACAAATTTAACTTCAACAATTAACTAAGTTCCATAATTAACAATGAACATGTCAACATTATATTCGCTCCAGTTTGTATTAGCATTATTGTTCAATCGTGTCTGGTATGCACATGTGTATTAATGCCTATTGACTGTGGGCAGCTTGTACCATCTAAATTAATTCCTCCATGCTTGTACCACTCATACGAAACCAAAAAATTGTTAGCTAATAAATACAAACGGAATTGTTAAGTTTGTGTACATTGCTTTATTTGATGTATATATATATATATATATACTGTCTCTTATACACATCTAGATGTGTATAAGAGACAGCACCATCAAAAATAATAAGCAACAGCTAAAAAGTAAACGTAAGTAAACAGCCAGAAATAGAACCATATATATATATATAAATCAAATAGAAATAGAACCATATATACATATATATAAATCAAATGGGAAAAACCCATAAAAACAGCAAACGGCCACATAATGCAAAACAATATAAAATTAAAACGGAACGGTAGAGAAAATCCGATCAGAATGACAAAATAAACTAAGCATCCACTGGAAGAAATCCCAATATCTGCAGACGGATCCGTTTCGGCCTTCCATGCCTCATCAGTGCAGCTAGGGTACAGACCTAAACGAAACGTTTGACCAACTTAGGCAGAGCCCAAACTAGTCCCACGACCACTAATGATTACAGAGCCATATATATATATATATATGCATGCTTGCGGGTTCGAATCCTTCCAGCGACCTCTTTTTTCATACAACTATAATAAGGAACTCGCGTTGATGAACCGTGATTAATACGACCTTATAACATCTTATTCCTATATTTGAGCACCTTAAATCATTAAAGAAAGGTAAATACATTGTAATATATATTTATATAAGGAACTCGCGACCTTACAACATCGTTTTCCTATATTTGAGCACTATTATTAAATCATTAAAGAGAAGTAAATACAGTGTTATATATATATATACATACATATATATATATATATATATAATACTATATATTAATATGTTTTCAAACCCCTATTATTGGGACACTTTTTTGCTCGTATCACTATTGTTTGTTATTGTATCACTGCATCTACAATAGATTCAAAATAAAAATAGGAATTTCATTCAAATTCATATTTTGATAATTTTTGAACGATAAAATGAACGTTTTTCATTGACCCTTAAAATTAATATCGATATAGGGCCACTGTGTGTGTTACTTCGTATTTTATGAAATCATGGGATTTATTATTTTTCATCGTACCTTCATATGAGATTTGACTCTTAATCATGGCATTTATTTGTTTACATTCATATTTTGATTCAAATCCAGAGCATAACCATCACCCTGATTTCTAAGTCATTACGCTATTCATTCTGCTGTGTTTGTCATAGCACTGGAATCGGCAACAATGTACAACTTTTTTTGTTTTAATTATATTTATTTTGATTTCATCTAAAATATATTGTATTTGAATTGCAAATTATTGTTGCACTTTAGTTTAATTTATTTTATTTTATATTGTAGCTCATTCTTAATTCCACTGAAATAAAATTCTAAAGAATCTATGTTTCATTTTATCACTACGTGGCAAAACCCCTATTAAAGGGAAATTTCACGTTTTTGATTTAGGACACCCCTTAAGCGAACACTTTTTTTGGGCCCGAATGTGTCCTCCGGGGTTTTATAACGTTTGCAATTGCTGGCATAAAATAATTTGATGATTCGTATATTTACAAAACAAATGGTAATTTAAGGAAATGAAGTTGCAAAAGTCAGTAAAAGTTCTGTTGTTGATGCAATCGCCATAAATATTCCAAAAAGAAACGCAATAACAGCAATTGTAACGCATGTAAATATTTGAAGTGTTGATAGATATTGAAATTTAAGTTTGATATAGAATATACACGGGCAAATGAAACTCATCCACGGACTAACCAAACTGCCTATAAAGCCCATGAATTTAGCGAAATGTGGAACGATTACAGCGAAAAATAGACAACTCAATACAATTACAGCTCGGAATATTGTGGCCCAAATTGGAGGTGGGTCCTTCGGTGTAGGCCCGTAGCAAGGGGGTAGTGAATGAATTTTTAGTAAATCGAAGTTATCAATTATGAAAAACAGAAATAAAGGGTACGTGAATATCGCTTTAAGAACTAGAAGCAGGCTGATAGCTATGAAGACTGGCCCCGCTGGCATATTATAAACGATGAATTCTTTTACATCATTTCCAAAGGCAATGTACGGCGTAATTGAATAAGCTAGTAGAAGGACCGTACAGAAAGCATACGAAAAGTTTATCATCATATCGAACTTGGATCGATCCTTCATAGTTTCTTCGACACCAGCTACTGCAAAACTGGCCTCGAAGTTGAAGAGTAATACCCCGCAGCTAACGGTGAATGCTCTGATACCAACATTCGGTGTGTATTCAAATTGCCAGGTACTGGAGTTGATTTCAATTGCTGAATATACGATGACGCTTATAAACATGCTGGAGATCGCAAGAAGGGCGATGAAGCTACTAATTGAAATTTTAATTAAAGTTCTTAAGAATATGCTGGGCAAGACTAGCACTGTTGTGATTACAGTCCACCAAAGTTTGGAAAGTCCCGACCTAGGAAATGTCTCCACCAGCATCGCTCCTGCCAACTCGAGATAGAGCGTTGCTACTGCCATGCAGTATATGATCTGGATGACGACTATAAATCGTCGGCCGTGCTCACCCCAGCAGGCTTGTGCTATATCAGCATAACTGGATCTTGTCCTCACTTGCTTTATTTGTCCATCACATGTCTCAACCTCGTCATACAAACAACGTGCAATTAACTGAAAAGACATATCAAATTATTTCGTTTAAAAAATACATATCCATATTCCGCAATTCGAATGTACACACAAAATGTTCAGTTTATGTAGTTTATAAACATTGTTAGTAACTTTTAAATAGAAGATCTCATTTGATTTTTGTTCCTGGACGACTCAAACAAAACTTTGAGTCATCCAGTCGGCGAGATTCATACATTTTACGGCCCTTTTGAGTAATACCAAATTATAAAAGCTATACATTTACCTTACTTGTGTGGACTAGAACTATACATGCTAGACAAAAAATAACGATCGCCGCTACAAGCCCGCCCTCCTTGAAGGCATATGGAATACTCAATATTCCGACGCCAAATATGCAGTTACATATATTACAGGCAGCTTGAAATGCAGACCCCTCTCCAAAATCTCCAAATCTTCCACTATTTACTGCAAAAAAAATAAAATAAAAAATAAACGAAAACAAATGATATTACTTCATGTATAAGCACTTCATGTAACGCCTGCTGTTTTCCCCTTTATAATATTTATTATCTGTCATACCTCTAGATAATAATTGATTTTCTTTCATACTTCTAAGTTTTAGAAAAAATAATAAATTTTCTGTACCTTGATGCATAAATTGATTAGAATGGGGTTTGTAGGTCATTATGACCTTGCAACGTTCCTACTCCATTATTAATAGTTTGCACATATTAGGGTATGTCTATCACTTGATAGGCTTACATAATTTGATTAGGGATAATGCGGGTTAGAGGATATTTAGTCCATGATATTTAGTCCATGATTTAAGCATGTTTTAATATACTCTACTGCCTCTACTATACTGTCATCATCGGAGCTTTCGTGATTACGGGAACTTATTGTTTATGGCATTGCTTTGCCAAGTTAAATTAATTGATATTGTTCATTATTACCGTGGCTAGCCAAATATAACAAAAATATATTATTTAAACGTACTTCCATCAAAATTGACAAAAAATGTTCCATTTGTTTGTGAAAAATGTACAGTCGCATCTTGAATCGAAGGGAGTGATTTCATTTTCTTTGCGTCACATGTAATTTCGTTTGAAGCTTGGTCGAATTTCGAAACGAGCTTTGTCTTTTCGTTGTAATCATCGAGTTCCATTGTGCACCTTTGAGCAAAATATAAAATATGTTACGAGTATAATTTAGACTTACTTATTCCTATCCTACTTAAAATTAAGTACAGAGAAAACATCAGAGATAGGCCTACTACTAGTGCCAGCTTTTGCGCAGTCAGTGCATTACCAAGAGGAGATTTGACGCCTCTCATAATCTAATCATAGAAGTGACGTCATATATTCTCCCACGTGAATTATCTATTAAATTAACAAGAATTAACAGTCCGATATGCTGATCATTGATTTTATTTTTGTTATTGTTAATCAGATTAAACGGAATAAAATTGAAACATCAATTAACGAATGGCTCTAGGGATTGCTGTGTCACATGACGTTTACTGGGTATTCAGTATATACTACTGATATTATGCATAGCCGGGCCTATAAAGAGATATTGTCATCATATAATAATACAAATATTGAGTGTATAATAAATATTATTGTCATAAACATAATAAGCTCACATTACCGTACGTTGTATCATATTTTTTTTTAAATAATTTATTGTGTCACTTCATAAAATAAAGATTCAAAACAAAAACGCGAGATATCTATCCACTGATTCACAGAAACAAAGGCAACAAACAAAATAAACAATAGATAAGCAAACAAAATAATACGACAGATAAGCAAACAAAATAATACGACAGATAAGCAAACAAAATAATACAGCAGATAAGCAAACAAAATAATACGACAGATAAGCAAACAAAATAATACGACAGATAAGTCGAAAAACCGAAAGGTTCAGATTCAGATTTATTTGGTCCTTGCGGAAACTCATATTTAGGTCCACTAATTAATCTCATAAGATAGTATAATACATACTCCAATTATCGAAATGCACGCCATCGTGTCGGGAATCAATATTTCGACATTAATTATGCCATCATCAAGAATAAGTCTAACATTTAAATTTAGTACCAGAGAAGGCCTTGTTTCTAAGGGAATGGTTTCTCTTGATATTGTGTCTGAGACATGAGTATTAAAATAACCAGGATCGTGTTTGATATAATTTTGTAGTTAATTTACCGGTCATAATATGCTGACTCTTATTGGTTTTAAACACACAGAAATAATTTCATTAGACGATAAACATGATGTAATTAAAGTAAACACACATCTCATTAGCTGACTTGAGCTAACGTATTAAAAACAAATGTCTTTATTTATAGCGATTATGAGATTAGAAGTATTCACACTCTAAAGATTATTTAACAGTCGATTCTTGGTCGGCGTTATTGAAAGGTTATTATGAAACTTTTATCAAATTAAGAAAAACAATCTTTATAATGTCTAATAAAGCGCTGGTGGCGACAGATTGTAGGCCTACAAGACCAGATGACGTTACAGATAATATTAAATAACATTATTGATTATTGATTGGTCACGTTTGATTGTTGGAAAACACAAGGAGCACATCGCAACGAGAAAAATTTATAAAAAGGAAATACTTTTTTTAAAATTATTCTTGCAAACATATGTTTGGAAACTACAGATTAATTATAAAGTTAACATTTATGAAATTATTTATAAGGAAATCAAATATGTTAATTAGAACAATATACCTATTAATGTATTTCAATCTCTGTTCCATTGTTGGCAATTGCTTTATCCAGCATTGTCTTTTTTTCTCTTATATTTAAATTAAATTATAATTAAATTTATTTTCTTATGTTTAATTGGTGACCTCGTTCCATACTTTTAAAATTCTAATATAATTTCATGTTTTTCTTTTTCGTTTTCTTTTTTCTTTTTTTTTTATGAAGTGTAACGGCTTATTTATTATGCACTATATGTGCTACGATTTAATAGGTCTATTTATTACTTGTTAACAAAATGTATTCATTGTATAGTGGGTGATTCCAGTTCATTATAGCATCCATATTCTCTGTCACTTATGTATATAGGCCAACATTGTCAACGACCACAGTTTTCTTAATTAGTCCAAAAGTAGAAGTGTCCTGATGTTAACATGAAATTTATTTACAATTAATCATGGTTTGTTTTAAAATTCGTATAGACCTGTCGGTCATAGGCTTAAGTAGCAATGGCCAGTGAAAGGCCTAGAGTCAACACCTTTTGAACTCAGTTCATTGGTATATAAGACCATAAGACCGACCTTGGCTTTATGATCGATAACAACTTGGTGAATTTGTGCGTGATCTGTTTATTTAATATAAATTCAATCGATTTGTCCATATCTTCTCAAGATTTCGAAGATAGGGCCTACATCATCAATACAACGATTTGCTGTTTCGTCAAATTTTCTCGTATCTTCCTTCGGAATTGGAGAAAGTAACGCTTACTTCAATCACTTCACACCTACTTCACATCAAAGAAAGGTAAATACAATGTTCGAATAAAGGACATCGTGTAGCACAGCTCTCAACATATAAATAAATAAAGAAATTGTGTAATAAAATCCTCTGACGGGATTCGAACCTGCGACCTCTCGCTGTCAAGCCGAGAGTCATAACCATTAGACCACAGAGGCTTCATGGTTGAACATATATACACATCT